TTTCTGGGTGAAGAGTCTCTGGGTGAAAAGTATATTGGTGAAAAGTATGAGCAAGAAGAGTTTCTGGGTGAAGAGTCTCTGGGTGAAAAGTATATGGGTGAAACGTAGGTGCAAGAAGAGTATCTGGGTGAAAGTATATGGTGAAAAATATGTGCGAGAAAAGTTTCTAGGTGAAGAGTCTCTGGGTGAAAAGTATATGGGTGAAAAGTATGTGGAAGAAGAGTTTCTGGGTGAAGAGTTTCTGGGTGAAAAGTATATGGGTGAAAAGTATGTGCAAGAAGAGTCTCTGGGTGAAAAGTATATGGGTGAAAAGTATGTGCAAGAAGAGTTTCTAGGTGAAGAGTCTCTGGGTGAAAAGTAGATGGGTGAAAAGTATATGGGTGAAAAGTAAAATTGAGGCTCCGATGTGGGACCATTATATGTGCAAGAAAAGTTTCTGGGTGAAGAGTCCCTAGGTGAAAAGTATATGGGGGAAAAGTTTGTGCAAGAAGAGTTTCTGGGTGAAGAGTCTCTGGGTGAAAAGTCTGTGCAAGAAGAGTTTCTGGGTGAAGAGTCTCTGGGTGAAAAGATGTGAACAGTATATTGGTGAAAAGTATGTGCAAGAAGAGTTTCTGGGTGAAGAGTCTCTGGGTGAAAAGTATATGGGTGAAAAGTATGTGCAAGAGAAGTTTCTGGGTGAAGAGTCCCTGGGTGAAAAGTATATGGGTGAAAAGTATGTGCAAGAAGAGTTTCTGGGTGAAGAGTCTCTGGGTGAAAAGTATATGGGTGAAAAGTATGTGCAAGAAGAGTTTCTGGGTGAAGAGTTCTGGGTAAAAAGTATATGGGCGAAAAGTATGTGCAAGAAGAGTCTCTGGGTGAAAAGTCTGTGCAAGGAGAGTTTCTAGGTGAAGAGTCTCTGGGTGAAAAGTATATGGGTGAAAAGTATGTGCAAGAAGAGTTTCTGGGTGAAAGTATATGGGTGAAAAGTATATGGGTGAAAAATATGTGCAAGAAGAGTTTTTGGGTGAAGTCTCTTGGTAAAAAGTATATGGGTGAAAAGTATGTGCAAGAAGAGTTTCTGGGTGAAGAGTCTCTGGGTGAAAAGTCTGTGCAAGAAGAGTTTCTGGGTGAAGAATCTCTGGGTGAAACGTATATGGGTGAAATGTATGTGCAAGAAGAGTTTCTGGGTGAAGAGTCTCTGGGTGAAAAGTATATGGGTGAAAAGTATGTGCAAGAACAGTTTCTGGGTGAAAGTATATGGGTGAAAAATATGTGCGAGAAAAGTTTCTAGGTGAAGAGTCTCTGGGTGAAAAGTATATTGGTGAAAAGTATGTGCAAGAAGAGTTTCTGGGTGAAGAGTCTCTGGGTGAAAAGTATATGGGTGAAAAGTATGTGCAAGAAGAGTTTCTGGGTGAAGAGTCTCTGGGTGAAAAGTGTATGGGTGAAAAGTATGTGCAAGAAGAGTTTCTGGGTGAAGAGTCTCTGGGTGAAAAGTATATGGGTGAAAAGTATGTGCAGGAAGAGTTTCTGGGTGAAGAGTCTCTGGGTGAAAAGTATATGGGAGAAAAGTATGTGCAAGAAGAGTTTCTGGGTGAAGAGTCTCTGGGTGAAAAGTATATGGGTGAAAAGTATGTGCAAGAAGAGTTTCTGGGTGAAGAGTCTCTGAGTGAAAAGTATATGGGTGAAAAGTATGTGCAAGAAGAGTTTCTGGGTGAAGAGTCTCTGGGTGAAAAGTATATGGTTGAAAAGTATGTGCAAGAAGAGTTTCTGGGTGAAGAGTCTCTGGGTGAAAAGTATATGGGTGAAAAGTATGTGCAAGAAGAGTCTCTGGGTGAAAAGTATATGGGTGAAAAGTATGTGCAAGAAGAGTTTCTGGGTGAAGAGTCTCTGGGTGAAAAGTATATGGGTAAAAAGTATATGGGTGAAAAGTATGTGCACGAAGAGTTTCTGGTTGAAGAGTCTCTGGGTGAAAAGTCTGTGCAAGAAGAGTTTCTGGGTGAAGAATCTCTGGGTGAAAAGTATATGGGTGACATGTATGTGCAAGAAGAGTTTCTGGGTGAAGAGTCTCTGGGTGAAAAGTCTGTGCAAGAAGAGTCTCTGGGTGAAAAGTATATGGGTGAAATGTATGTGCAAGAAAAAAAATTGGGTGAAGAGTCTCTTTGTGAAAAGTATATGGGTGAAAAGTCTGTGCAAGAAGAGTTTCTGGGTGAGAAATCTCTGGGTGAAAAGTATATGGGTGAAATGTATTGAAGAGTCTCTGGGTGAAAAGTTTGGTGGAAAATAGGGGTAGATGGGATGCTGGCTTTCGTTCCCCCCTTCTCAGGTAGATCTATTTATGTGAAAATTCATGAGATTCATGAGATTCATGAGTCCGGGGAGTTGTCTCATGTGGCAACCACATGCAACGATGTTTCAAACCAATGCAAACCAGAGGTGCTGGAGTTGCTGCTTAAGCTGAAGGGGAATGGGATTCTTGTGATCACCGTGTCACGAAGTACTTCTGTGCACATGCATTCATTTGCCGTCCAAAAGAGAGACTCTGAAGTGTACGAACCAAATTGAATGCCTGAATTGTTGAATTGGCCAGGGCAAAGGTCCAAATTGGTCATTGGCGCACCTCGCTCATAGAATGTTGAAGATACACAGCAATAGATTGGCATGCTTTTGGCATTTGTGTGAAATATGTGACATGAGATGGACATTACATAATAGAAATGAGATAAAATTGTTCCATATGTGCTTTGAATCACGGCTGTGTGGCAGAACCAAAATTCATGGGCATGTTGGAAGCTTGAGTCACGTTCATCTCCCTTTCTCTCATGGACATCGACACCACAAATGTTTCCAACAGATGTACATTTGTGTTTTGCCTTTCGTTTATATAATGTGATACAATGCGCGAAGATTGTTCCCAAGTTGGGAAGGTACAGACAATGCCCAGAAGTTCCAGACGTGACAACGATGATAAAACCTAATAGGGGTGCCACAAGCCTTGTATGGCCCCGCCATTGGTATCTATACTTGTGATCCATTTATGTTCTAACCAGTTCTATCATTCTGTTCTCTAATATATTTTTCTATTTAGTTTTGCAGCGCTGGTGCCTATGGCAACTATGGCCGTTTGAACATCTACTGTTTGCAGGCCATTTTCGAGGCTCCTTGGTGTGACTTGCTGCGTGCCACGAAGATGTTGGACGCGGAGGAGCTCTTCGTAGCCTGCAGGACCTTCAAAGCAGAGCTGAAGGACGTGGCGGATGAAGAGATCCGACGCCGCTCCAGGGAGATCATCCTCCAGCACGATTACGAACAGGTGTTGCAGAGGATTTTTAGGGAATTTTGGTGAATTTTTAGGGAATTTTAAGGAAGAATTTTAGAAAATTTTAAGGAATTGTAAGTTGGAAGGAATTTTAGGGAATTTTACAGGCAATTTTAAGGAAATTTAGGTAATTTTATGTAATTTTAAGGAATTTAAAGGAAATTAAAGGAATTTTTGGGGTCTCAATCTATTTAATTTATATATCTGTCGATCTATCTATCTATCTATCTAATTAATCTATCTATCCTATCCTATCCTATCCTATCCTATCTATCCTATCTATCCTATCTATCCTATCTATCCTATCTATCCTATCTATCCTATCTATCCTATCTATCCTATCTATCCTATCTATCTATCCTATCCTATCCTATCCTATCCTATCTATCCTATCTATCTATCTATCTATCTATCTATCTATCTCTCTATCTCTCTATCTATCTCTCTATCTCTCTATCTATCTATCTATCTATCTATCTATCTATCTATCTATCTATCTATCTATCTATCTATCTATCTATCTAATCTATCTATCTAGCTATCTATCTATCTATCTACCTATATGAATCCACACACATATATATATATATATATGTTGATGGATTGGCAAACTATTTCATGCAAATTAGATTTGAATTAGATTCACCAAGTGATTTCATGTGCTTTCATGCTCGGACTATGTCCGGAGAATGGTGTTGGCATACATATTGAACGTCCTTCGCATACCCCACGACCATGACGACAAGCATGTCAGATGCATGTATGATAGAATGGGTATAGAAGCGTGCCCGTATTTGTTTTGTTGTGTGCAGAACGTTGGACATGTCTAAATTAGAGGGAAAACACTTTGGAGGTTGTGGTGTTGAACACTAAAGTCACTAGGCAAGAGCATTCAAAAACGCATTAGCGTGTTGGCAAGTAGCTGGAGTATTGTGCGGTAGTTGCCTTGTCTGTGATCGCATCGCTGGGAGGCTCCGCTCTTTTTGGTGCATGCCTTGCAGCTGATGCACCTTCCAATGCAGTATCCGGAGCACTTCGCACCTCCGACCATTTCTGCAACAAATCCTCAGAACGAGGACTTGCGGGCAGCAACCTACGGTGCTTTGACCTACGTGGATTGGGTCATTGGAGATCTCATCAATGCCTTCAAGGAGAAAAAACAATATGAAAACACCATCGTGTTGGTCAGCTCTGACAATGGCGGAGCAATCTATGCAGGCACTGCCAACAACAATTTCCCCTTGCGTGGAGGAAAGTTCAACAATTTTGAAGGAGGGCAGCGCGTGAATGCTTTCTTCAGTGGTGGTTGGGTGGAAGCCGCTCTGGCAGCAAAGTCTTTGTCACCCTTTACTAGCGAAACGGTCATGGCCATCAATGATGTCCCGGAGACATTGCTTCACATGGTCGGAATCAAGCATGGAATGGGACATGCTTCTGGGCCTCTTACTGGGGTGGCATTATGGCACAAGATCCTTCACAAGGAGCAGCATGAAAGGAGGATTGTCTACTCAGAAACCATGCAACTGATTGTGACACCCAACGTCCAAGATTTGATGAAGTTCTGGTTCTTGGGAAAAACCAAAGTCATTTCGGATGGCAATTGGTCAGCCAACTTCCCCAACAACACAGAGTTCATCCCAGATTTTGCTTACTTTTACGTCCGTCCTTGTGGCAGCAACTATTGCTACTTCAACTTGTCAGCGGACCCCTCCGAGCAGACGAGCATTGGGTTGTCACCTGTTGAAGTGGATGCCTTCAGAAGAGAGTGCTCCGATGCATGGAACAACAATGTCATAAACACGTCTCGCATTGAGTCAATCGAAAACTCAAGCAATGGCTACCCGTCTCAAGTGGCATTGTGGACGCACTATGGAGCTTCAGGTCCATTCTTGACGAAAAATGCGGAGCCCGTTGAAGTATCTGCCCAGTGCTGGTGTGATTGGATTGATGACGAGGTCCCACCAGAAAACGTAACCCATATCATTTTCAACCTGTACCTGGGTGCAAGGTGCACAGACATCGATGGAGCGCGCGGCGTAGATGGCGCCCTTGAATGTAAAGGGCCATTGAGGTTGACCCAATCTCCGATTCCTTGGTCCTTCCAAGAGGGCATGTGGAGCAAGATTGGCTTCCGCACTGAGAACTTTTCCTACATCGAAGAAGCACAGTGGGATTATGGAAAAGCGGGTGATGACTTTCCCCTGCCCTTGATGAAGTGGAATGTGCCAGTGATTCAAGGCTTGCAGAGCATGAACGCACGCATCGGCTTCAAAAATTGGGCGAACATTGGGAAGTATCCTTTCAACTTGGCCATTCATGACCATTGTCCAGAATTTAGGATCTACACTGCACCTACGCCAACCACTCAAGTGACCGACTGGCTGCTTGCTGCGGGGGTTTTCGATGACCCTACCAGGGGCGTGCGATCCTGGGGCAAGCTATTGACTAAAGTCCTTAAAGTCCTTAAAGAGAACATAACCGATGACGGGAAAGTCAGAGGCTGCATTTTAGTCACTCCGGATGGCATGGTGTGCCCAACTTTGGACAACAAGCCACCTCTCATTAATACTTCTGATGTGAAGATACGACCTATTACAAACTGCCTTGACGAATGCATACTCTATGATCCACACGCACCATAGTTAAATAGTGTGCCAAAATTAGCAATGCAAGAGGACATGGGGTTTTGGCGCGACGAGCGTCAAAGGAAACCTGCAGTCACAATGATTCGGCGATGTGCATGTATTGACTTTGCCTGCAATTGTGTATGTACAGAGTAGTTTCAAAAATTGAAGCTCCACGCTTTTGGTTCTGGCTCCAAGCTGCAGCAGTTCTTTGCCGTGTGGTAGTGGCAGGCTGCTTTTTTGAGTAACCTGCTGCAACAGTGCAGTTGGCATAAGCCCATTGCAACACAAGTCCTTTTCACATCCTCTACCTCCTGTGGTAGGAGTACACTCGCCGTATGTCGAAAACTGCAAGAAAGACGTAAACTTCGTACGCTGTCCAGATCTGTCCAGAACATTCCAGAAATCTGTCGAAAGTGCTGGATTGCCACACAGAACTTCCAGCATGCACATGGCATGCGCATGTTCGCCACGCTACCTTGGAAGGAGAACGCTCCCGAGCCCCGTGTCCTGCGTGGAGGAGGGAGAGGCACCTTGCAGCAATCCTCCTGACATGCGATAACTGCATCATACTGCATCCTTGTGCATCTTACTCCTGACAGACTTCAACGCGGACTAGGCACCAAGATCCAAGATGCAACTCAATTATCATCTATCATCAAGCATTGCAGTCGCTGCCCGGAGTGGGGGCCGAGGAAGAGGAAGAGGGTTTGGAAAGGGCCAAATCCGCGTGGAGGAGTACGGAAAAGGTGGAAAAGGACCGGGAAAGCAATTGAGGGACGGGAGACGATCGAAGTACGGGCAAAGTTCTTTTTAAAGGACTTGTCACATAATTACATCAATTCTTTCAAGTCATCACGGTATGGCATCAAACATCATCAAACATCATCAAACATCAAAAATATCCACCACGAAACTGCCACTGATGCTCCCCTTGCTTGGCGGATTGAGTAGCACTGCACCAGGCAGAGGTGGCAAAGGCTCATCCAAAGGTCAAGGGCCCGGGGAAACCGCGCAAGCTGATGGCAAATCACAGGCTCTGACGGCGAAGGAGTGGACAATTGTAGTGATGCTATGGAGTTTCTGTACTGAAATGATTTGTACACCCACAGATGCCGAAGAGCTTCCCATATTTTGCATGACTCAGGATCTCGGGTGCGTGTATGATGTCAAGTTATGATTTCAAGTCTGCTTTCATTTGATCAGTCAAACATGTGAGTGCAGCTTGCGAGCGGCTTTTGTTGGTACTGTATGGTTGTGCCTGTTTTGATCTTGCAAGTATATATAGTCTGATAAACCATCACTATCCATGACTTGTAAGACGTGTACTTAATTGCAGTTTCCAATGGTCGATGGGTGCAAGATAATCAGCACCAATACAACGCTGTCAGCTCAAAGGAGGGATGGAAAGCCGCCAAATAATGTCCAATTGCGTCGTTGATTCTTTTTTTTGCTGTTTTTTGTTTGATATGTGCCACTCTTTGGATCAATTGGGGCAGGTGTTCCAGCGACATATCGACAGAGCAGATCGCGTGCCTCGCACGTACGAGGAGACTTGGAAGGAAAGAAATAGGAGAAAGGCAGCCTCAAAGTTCCCTAGGCCCTAAATTCAATTCCCTGGATTTGGATTTCTTTTGGCCCTGGAACTATGTGTTGGACGGTATGCCCGCGCATACCCTTCAGAAAGCGCATCTGGCTCCTCCCTTGTTTGCAAGGAGATGTTGCTGCTCTATGGCTCACAATGGTCACGAATGGCCGCTTGTCTTGAATTTGTTCATTGCTGCCTAAGCTACTAAGATCAGTTACTGCATGATTGGATAACGTCAGATCCCCAGGAGTGTGCATTCCGGCCCTTTCCAGTTGTAGAGATCCTCGCCTACTTCATGGATTGCCCAGCAGAGAGAGGTGTGGGTGTTGTGTCTCTTCCAATTTGTTTGTAAAGTGATGATCATGTGTAAGCCTTAGTTTTGCAACATCAGAAACCTAATAGAAACAGTCTTGTATATTCAGAAGTAGCATGGGGTATCGAGAAGCCAAGTCTAGTTGTGCCAGAATCCATAGATTGCTTCCTATTCTCTTTTGTTCAAGCTTTGTACAGACATCCCGGCATATTACTATATATAAATCCTATATCAATCAAATTCAATACATGATATCTGATATCAGCACAGACAAATGACATGTGTCGTGATTTCACGTCCTCACCTTAGGCAGTTCACGGCAAAATGGTCGATCTTGTTTGACAATTGCAGGAGTCAATGTTGGATCTCAAATTGCATTAGATTCAGCTCCAAGAATCAGGCATAAAAAGGTCACTGGGCTTGGGCACCGAAGTCACTCATGCTGACCCCCTGCTACATCATGGATCACAACATGAGGCTCGGAAGCCCCGCCATGCCTTCGGCCATTCCTTTGTTTCCAAGAGCTTTGAAGCCCTGTTGCAGTCGTTTTCTTCGTCCTCATGCTGCACTTCATCCCAGTCGTCCACGCACGTGCTTTGTTTCCTGGGTGGCTTCCTTTCTCATGGCGACAAGGCCTCTGTGCAGCCTGGTTTGCTGTGCCACACGGGGCAAGACAGGGAGAGCTTTGAAGCGAAAGGGTCCAACGCTCAAACTGCTACGGGAGAAACTCAAGGAATTGGGTTTGCCAAGCTCAGGGAAAAAGGCGGACCTGCTGGAAACCTTGCGCCAGGCTGTGCTTGAGGCAAAAGATGAGCTGGAACAGCTGGAACCAGAAACATGTCCTCCTGAAAGGTCTCCTGAAGGAACTGGTTCTGGAGCTGGTTCTGGAAGAGTTGAGGACACTGAGCTACTTGGAGCTTCGAGGATCCAATCCAGTTGGCAGGCCGTTTCTTTGGGTTCGGATGATCCAGATTTGATCCGACCAGGTGATCGCATTTTCCTCCGAGCACACACTGGTTGTTACATAGATGTGGCCGAAGAAATGGCCTTAGCCAGATGGGATGACACAGGCGACTGGCAACAGTTGGTCATTGAGAAGAGTCCTTTGGTGGTTGAGGATACGGATCCCAGCCTGTTTCATCCAGGTGATTTGATGTTTTTGAAAGCCCACACTGGTCGCTATTTGGATGTTCAGGATGAAGGCAGTCCAGTTCAAGCTCGCTGGCAGGATCTTGGAGTGTGGCAGGGCCTAGAGCTGGCAAAGAAAGACTCAGACCCTTTGCGGGTGGGGGACATTGTGTTCCTCAAAAGCCACACGGGGATGTACATTGACGTGCACAATCATCAGGTTCAAGCGCGATGGGCAGATGAAGGTGATTGGCAGGCATTGACGATTAGTCGCTCATGACTCTTGGGTCCGGAAGATCCTGACCCATTGCAGGGCAATGGACGAACATCAATCATCAATCAATCATACGGAACTGATTAAAGTCAATATAAATTCTGAAGATCAAGAGGCACCCAAACTTTAATTATAGAAGACAATGACAATGCAATCATTCATTGCGCCCTTGGAATTTGCTTATTGGTTTCTTGACCGACCAGTGCCTGTAGATCGACTAGTTAGCTGTCCGAATGGAAAGGTTTTGGGAACCTTGCGAGCTTCCGCTGCAGAGCAACCAAAGAGCGCAGCTCGTGCTGCGAGATTGCTACATCTTGGGAGGTGTGTTTTCATGACCTTGGCAAGAAAAGACCGAAGCCTGAGCAATAAAATGGGCCACTGCATTGCACTTGGTAACAAAGATTTACAAACTGCAAATTGGCAGTGCTGCCATGCCAAACACTTCCGAGCAGCATTGCACCTTTGCTTTTGTGAACACACAACGCAACTGTATTTTTTCAGTTGCTTTCCGTCCCACGTTCATATCGTCTCCAGGCAAGGGAAAATTCAAAGGAGGCAAAGGAGCGGCCAAAGGAAAAGGCAGACCTGGCAAGGGCTGGGGCCTAGGAGTGACCAACTTCAGTGCCATGGGAAGCCTTGCCAGACGCAACTCTTCTTGCACTCTCAGAGTTGGTTGACGAGAAGTTGAAAAGATTAATGATATTAATGCAACAACGATAGATCAACTTAACTTGATAATATCGATTCAGGTAACAGTTTATTGCATGTGGATGTGGTGTTGTTTGTTTTTTCTCAGTTTCATGTGTCTTAGATAGGTTCGGTGGTGTGATGCATGCGGCCCAAGACACGAAGAAAGCCATGTTGAGCCCTTCTCTTGGTCTTAGCTTCCACACTTCCTGACAATTCCTAACTCTCTGAAAGGTATAGATCCTGCAGTTCCTTGCCCGCAAAGTCAGCCGCAACTCCGTGGATTTTGAATCATGTTTTGATGCCAAGCGTTTTGCTGCTTTTCCGTGCAGTGGCACGGGGCTTATAATGGTCGAAACGATGACTGAACAAGCAGAAGACGCGTGCCCAAGGAGCTTTCTTGAATTTCTTTGATCTGTCAGTGGAGCTTAATGCAGCTTAGTGACCTGAGGATGGAAAGGTTTATACCTGGGAGGAATTGAGATCCTTCTATGTTTCCCGGCTGGGTATTTTCAGTTTGAGGGAGCGCGTGCCAGGCAGCCTCCTAAAAGCTGACGAACAAAACATACTTCCAACCATGTATTGCCAGCGCGAAGGTTTAACCAATCTAGAATAATCTAGATGTGAGTCTAGATGTGTTTCATTCCGCTTCCCTTCTCTGAATAAAACATATACACTGAGTAAACCTCTGCAGCGGATCAGCACAGAGGCACCAACCTACACCAAGAAGCAGACAGAGGCACTGGTTGTATGCATCCTCCAGGGACTTCTTTACTTGCCCCCATTCCACGTCGCTGTTGAAAAACAATGTTTCCCTTGCGTTTCCACCACTGGGTCTCATGTTATGGATTTTCGGAGCCCATTCAAACATTTGTTGATGAAATTCGTCAGGTCTATTGGGAAGGATGCCCTCCTGCAGGAGGCAGTGGCATGCAAGGCGCAGAATGGTAGTTCTGGCTATGCGTGGAAGCTCAATTTGGGCCGGGTCGACAAAAGAGTCAACCTTAAATTTGGAATTTGATACCAGCAGCTAGGAAGGCCGTTTCATTGGCACAGGTGCTTCATTGAACTCACCACTGCATCGTTGGAATGAAATGAATGAATGACATGAAATGGAATAGAATGAACCGGACTGAAATGGAGTGAAGGAAGGAATGATTTGACGACCACATGAATGATTGAGTTAGTGGAACAAAAAAAAGATTCAATCACCGAATGAACACATTGGCCTGTCGCCGGGTCGTCTCTTGGCTGTTTCTCAGATGTCTTCTCTGAGCATTCTGAGCCCTTCTCTGAGGTAGTAGTTCTTCTGTGAGCCAAATATGCTTTCAGCTTTCAGCATCTTTCAGCTTCAAATCCTATGACTACTTGTTTCTTCCCTGTTTCTTCCCTGTCTCTTCCTTGAGCCACCTCTTCTCTCAGCTACCTCATCTTCCAGTGGTGCGAGATTGTGTGGACCTGTGCGTGTTTCATCCAATCTCTCAGCTCCCGCTCCAGTCTCGCCTGCTTTTCCAACGACTCTCCCAGAGCGAGGCTTGAACCACAAAACCTGCAAAAGCACCTTTCTGTCACCTTCAGACTCATGTTGTCCATGTTGTCCGTGGTATACTCCTATGTCAACTTCCCAACTGCAGTGGGCTGTGCTCCCCAGGTGGTTGAATTTTTCAATTGTTGAATCTGAATTGAAAAGCTGCCAATTGACATTTGTTTGTGACTCCCAGGATTGCTCGCTCAACTTCCTTTGATGACTTGATGGTATTCGGCGATATTCAAAATCATTCAAAGATTTGATGTGGATGAAATGGTTCGATCGCGTTTTGCCAATTTCAGCTGGCGGTGTAGTGAGAGGGATGAGGTGCACAGCTGATTCCAAGATGGCCTTTATTGAGGAGTGTCCTCCTGATGGGCAGCGATTTCCAACTGCAAGACTGAGGGCTGACTTGTACAGCATAAATGCAAGGCTGCTTGAGTGTGGCCTGCATACAAAATATACAAATATGCGTGAATTTTATGAATGTCCTCACTCACATACACTCAACATCAGCATGTAATTATGCAGGAACATCAAAGGAATTCAGAGAAGCACTGGGTCAGTAAATCATGTGTTGCCTTCTCCTTCGAACGCCGCAAGATGTCGCAAATCCCAACTTCGGATTCTGCTTCCTTCTTTGCGCCCATGTCATTGCGGGACACACAATATTATGCTGCAGGCACAAATCCCCAACCTTCATGGCTAGTGGCAGAATCTGAACTGAACGGGGTTCAGGCGTGGTCGATGGTGCGTTTCGGAAATCTGCCTTCCGCCAAAGCGCCAAGTGGCAGCCGCCTCGACCCATGTCGTGGCAAGAGACCGCAGCACATTCCAGTGCAGACTGGCACATTCCAGTGCAGACTGGCAGAAAAAGTTCGCTAAGGTACCGTCCTGCATGTGAGGGTGATGTGGTTGTAATCTTTGCATATATTTGCTCTTTCAAAACTGACTGCACGCTGCAACTGTGGTGTGGATATTTTGACAGTAAAGACTGCTGTGCTGGTGCCTTCAGTGCCAGCAGGTTTGTGTGAATCCTTGATAGGATTATCTGAACTTGTGAGATTTCGGCAGGTCGGACTATATCGGACCTGTGTTTACGCATCCCTTGTTGGGACAAAAGCGCTGTGCAAGATCTGTGGCAGGAGTACGCTCACCAGTATCCCAATACATCCAGTAGAAGAAATGTGCATCATATGAAGATGCATGAAGAAGATGCTACCTTCAAGACATTTCAATCATGCGTTCATGGTGAACTGGTGCCAACATGTTTCAATAGTATTCGACACAGGATGTGGCCTGACCGACATTTGGCTCAGTGAATTCAGAGCACGGGCAACATGGGCTTTGGAACTTCCAGTTCGGTGACCATATGGTTTGTGGACGGGGTGACGGTGGTGCAGGTTTATTTAGCTATAGTTGGCATAGCATGGTGAAGCAAACAAAGACATTCACTCGGGACCAGCTCATATTTCTTGCCCACAGTGCACGGATCGCATTCTACGTCAAGTGCGCAACATTTTCCGGCATTTTTGCGCACATTGTTCCGGGAAGATCAAGCAGTTTGCGCCAAGTTAAAACCCGTGGTGGTTTGGAACTTGGGAGTCTTGACTTTGGGGTATGCTTGGAATATCTTGGAATGTTTGACAATACCCTATCCCCGCGCAATTTCAATGAAGATTCTGTTGATTCAGCACAGGTCGCAATATGTCGCAAGAATGGTTTGTGCCGATTTGTGCCATTGACATTCCTTGTGTTGGTTTGATTTCGTTTGCACCATGTTGCCACCATGTTTTCCCCAGTCTAAGCCAGACGGAGCAGGAATTTCCATGCAGTACAGCGGCTTGATAGTGGCAGTGTGCTTACCAGGCTCCATTGACAAAGCAGAGCATACTTTCAGTGTCAATTCAGACGATTTATTAGACATGTTTTAAGACTTTTGAAATCTTATGAAATCGTTTTAAGACCAAGAGTTGGCAAAGATGCGGATAGGATCGGATAGGTGTTGAATACATATTGCCATTATTGGCCTTCATCGCAGGAGCATTGACGGATGTGGCGACTGGCACATCAAACCCATCTCAGGCCTAAACCCAAACGGCATTGTTGGGTGCTTTTGTCATTTTTTGTCTCTTGCTTGCGCGTGGAAAGCAGCATTCGATTTTTTGTTATCGCTGGATGCTGGCACCTGTGATTGGCGGATGCGACCGTACCGTACGGAGGCCTATTTGTTTTTGTTTTTTTTTTCTTTTACGTTTTTGGATTTTTTTTTGGGTTTCTTGTTTTATCTTGCTTTCTCCTTTTTTTTTTTGCTTTTTTGCTTTTGTGCTTTTTTGTTTGTTTTTTTTGTTTTTTTTTGCTTGTTTGCTTTTTTTGCTTTTTTGCGTTTTTGCTTTTTTTTGTTTTTTTTGCTTTTTTGCTTTTTTGCTTGTTTGCTTTTTTGCTTGTTTGCTTTTGTGCTTTTTTGCTTTTTGTTTTTTTTGATTTTTTGTGTTTTTGCTTTTTTGCTTTTTTGCTTGTTTGCTTTTTGTTTTTTTGCTTTTTGTTATTTTTGCCTTTTTTGCTTGTTTGCTTTTGGCTTTTGGCTTGCTTTCCATGGCTTTTGGTGGTATTTTTAGTATGTCAAACTTGCACATTTTTCAATACACTAGTTTGAGCCGACTATATTCATATATATATATTTATGTTTAAATTAAAATCATAATATATATATATTTACATATATATATATGTATATTTATATATATATATTTATATGCATTTATATACACACTTGTATATTTATATCTAGATATATTTATATTATTTATATTTTCTACTTATATATATATATTTTATATATATATACATATTACTACTATTTATGTTCAAATTCAAATATATATATATTTACATATATATATACATATATATATACATATATATATATTTATATATATACATATATATATATTTACATATATATACATATATATGTAAATATATTTATATATATTTATGCATGTATATATACACTTAAATATATATTATATTGATATATTTATATTTACATATTCATATTGATATTTTATATATTTATATTTATATTTATATATATATTTTTTATATATATTTATATTTACATATAAATATATATTTATGTACCTATATATATACATTCATATGTATATACATATAAATCATATAAATGTATATATATATATAAAGAAGTATGTATCTATAAGTATATGTACTGTATTCCACATGTTTCCAGGGTGCATGTCGTGTAGTCTATACACCTTGAGTATCACATTCAACCCAGCACCTTGCATGTAAAATAGGTGTTTCCAATCTGCTTTGGGGGGGAGGCGCTGCGCCCTTGTTTTTGTTTCGACCTAATACCTACATAGGTACATGCATGAGTATTGAGCACATGTATATGCGCCCTTCAAGGCTCAAGAGGTATATAGAGTAACCCTGTAGACAAGCACAGACCGGCAACAGGCTGAGTAAAACAAGTGCTGTCATTGGGGAAGACGCCTTAGCTGATCTTGAAGTAGACGCTAGGGCCCCTCTTCAAGTGGTAGCGGAGCTGTGATCCCTCATTGAGGGTGAGCTCCAGGTAGAGCCCAAGAAATGGCAAGCCATGGCTATGATGATGATGACTTCGACATTGTCGATGCAAATGAATGGAACCAATATGACTCTTATGCAATGAGAAGAGCACCCCAGCACACACAGATTCATATGACGCAACAGATGACCACAAAGGTTGCTCCAGCCTATGATGGGCGAACCAGCTTCTTTGCTTTTGAGGATGCAATCGATGACTGGTGTGACATTACGGAGTTAGAACCAGAGAAACGTGGTCCAGCATTGCGCAATAGACTGGAAGGAGATGCTCAACAATACAAGAGGCTATTGGATAGAGAATTACTCAGGGATCCCTATGAAGGAGTGGCTTATTTCAAAAGATTTCTACGACCTCATTTCATCAAAGGTGCCCAGAACGTGTTCTTATACCGTTTCATGCAGTTCATGAAGTTCAACAGAGGAACCATGGATCTTCAGAAGTGGATGACTAGATTTCAACTCACTGGCAATAGACTTATTGAGTCTTGGATGGATTTACTTCCAGAAGTAACAGTGACTAGTCCTGAAGCAATTCTGTTTGTTCAGCAACGACGTCAAGAACATGAACGAGATCAACAAGAGAGAGCTGATGTAGCAGCAGCCTCAGGAACACCTCATGTAGTTGTTCCTTGGACAGATGAACTGGCACTAGCGGCATGCAGACTATTTCAGGAAGATCGTAGACAAGTACAGCGACAAGCATTCCCACTGGGTGAAAATTTGCTAGCATTGATTTTTGTAAGTCTAGCTGACCTGAGTCAAGATCAGAGAAACACACTCACAAGTATCATGACACATCGTGGACGAACCC